CTTTTGTAGCAGCAGCAGTAGTAGCTATCGTTGCAGCTGGGGGCCAAAGCTGCCGAGCTGCCGAGCTGCCGGGCTTGGCCAAAAAACAATCCGCAAACAAATCCTTGATTTATGCGCACATCCTTGCGCACAAGCCAAACATTTATTTCCTTATCCACTTGTGCCAATGCGATTTGGCCAGCCAGCGTCTTGGCCCAGGCCAGCAGTAAAACTTACCGTTAGCAGACATTGAAATGGACACACACGCGCACACACTCGCACACACCCATGCTGGGGGCAATCAAATGAAAGCAAACTAGCGCCTGCTCTAACTGCCATTGTCAATGGTTGTTGTTGTTATTGTTGCTTCTGTTGCTGCGGCTTCTGGTCAGCGCGTGTTGACGATGATTTAGTATTATGTTGCTGCAAGGATTTAGTCGTGTACTCGAGCGTGTCTGCACAGCATCCCATTGGCCGCATCCTGTGCATCCTGGCTTTCTGCAACCTGCAATCAGTGTTGAGTGTTTTGTTTAGAAAGGAACGAAAAGGAGCTAGTGCAGTCGATAGTACCGATAATTTAAAATGGCAAAGGGATCGGGTTTTTTTCCGATTTACACGGAAATTCAAGAGAACGATTTTTTTCAAGTGATAGCATTTTTTCGACCTATCGCGATTTTCGATTTAGCGTTTTTTTAATTTTCAAAACTCGACTGTATATTGCTGGTATAAATAATAGTAGTTTTTTTCATTGAATTTATCGATAACAGCCAACTTTTCTGTAAGATTTTTCATATTGTCTTCTGCAAAATCGAATCAGAATTTCGTATTGCAAGCTCTAAATTGTTTTTTTTACTCTGGGTGTAATACCTAACTATTCGAAATATATTTTATATTTATATTTAAATATAGCTTCATGCGATACAAACGTATCTAGACTTAAATGAGTTCAGAAATGAGAGTACGATATTTCAAAGTTTCAGGTCTCAAGACAATGTCAAAAGCCCACATATAGCTACCACTTCAAAAATATCTATAAAGATGCTTTAATAAATTCTCAAAAATAGGGTTTTCCCTTAGTCCCATTGAAAACCTTCTAAACCCGCTAACTTTGGCTAGAAAAAGGCCATATTCTTAAGCAACGCTATCTGCAACCTGTGTGAGATGCTTTTGCTATTTGTTCAACTTTGATACATAACCTTGAATGCGGTTCGAATGTGGTTTGAATGTTTGCCTTGCATTCATCTCAATCTCAATGCGGAATGAAGTTTAGTTTGGTTCAGTTGAGTAGAGTTCGTCCGGCAGTCGCAGCAGCAGCAGCAGCAGCAATGCATTGCAACTACTGTTTGCTTATTTGTACAAATGGCTGCTCGTTGTCTGTCTGCATGCGTCTCTTTCCTGTGCTCTCCCCTCTATCGCTCTCTTACTCCCTCTCTTTCAGTCTATCTGTGTGTGTTCATAAATTCTGTGACTGCTGCCGTCTTTGGAATGTGTTGCTAAAAATTCTAGATAAATGATCTTTTGTCGCTGTGCGCGCGTAGATATTTTAATATTTTTGCCTTGAAACTTGTCTAGCAGAGTAAAAGTCCTTGACTAAGGGCAAATCAAGTTCATGGCGAATGCAACCAGCAGCCGGCAGCCAACAGCCAACAGCCAACAGCAGCTGCACTTTGCTAATTCCATAAACACTGCCAAAGCGTCTGAGCTCTATGGCTCTGGCTTTGACTCTCTGGCCAGGCAGACGCCGCGTGCCTGGAATGTTGCACACAGTTTCGTGTTGCATACTTTTGTGCGCTTCCTAATCCAGGCGAGAGAGCAGCTAGAGCTAGCTTCTGCCTCGCCTGGCTTACACTGCACACAGCCACACATATGGCTCACATTCACGGCATGACTTGGCTAACAAGCCTCTTCGATGTTGCCTTATTAATGACCTAGCATAATTGTGTGGAGCTGTGGCTAAGACTACGGCCACAGTGGCTAAAGAGCATTGAGTCAATGATTGCGAATAGTCAAATGTGATCTACTTATGCTAGGTGTGAAAGATGTTGAAGTTTTTATTTTGTAAATATGGTATTATAAGTACTTAATTTAATTATTTTTATTATAAGTACAGTCGCGATAAGCGGAGTCAGTATAGCCGGATTCTACTGTATTATAAAGACATATTTACATATATGAGATATTTACTCAACAGCCTTGATAAACATTCTCAAATACTATGCATTATTTTAATTTTTACGAAAACTATCAACGATATATTTAGACTATCAACGATATATTGTATAGCTCAAATATTCAATTCAAACATTCAATATTTCTTAATGTATTTTTGGCCAACATTTATAGTTTATAGCCTTGCACCACCTATTTAAAGATTTACGCAAACTATCATCGATAACTGTTTAGAGCTGTGGAAGAGTATTATATATTGGGTTGAACTTAGGTCAAATAGTTTCTTTTGATATATTTAATATTTCTCATCTATTTTTGCTCAATATTTATAGTTTATAGTTTTGCACCTCAGACTTGTAGACTTTGCCCCACTGTGCTGTGTGCGCGGCGCTCGCTTTTGACTGAAATTAACACGAGGCCACTAAGCCGCAAGCGCTGGCACAAAAGAAAAACTAATTTTCTGCTGCTGATTTCAAATTAACTGAATGAATGACTGAGTGAATGCGCGACTGAGATAAGTACACGCATATATCTCGCTTTATACGCACACATACATACATACAAGCATAGAGACATATATGTAGCTAGTATATCTAGTTAAATGCTATAATTATGGCAAAAAGCCAGCCAGCGAGCGGTGTCTGAGTTTTCGCTCATGTTTCATTGGGGTTTGCGGCAGCGGCAGCGGCTTTTACATTATGTTTACGAATTCAATTTAAGTATAGCTATATATACACATATATATGTATAGATGTTATATGGATAGCCATTCAGGAAGCTGATGTCCTTATTCTGCCTGCAGCAGCAGCTGCGCCTGTAATTAGGCAACGGCAATTACCTGGCTTGTCCATTGGCCAACTCACACCAACATCGAAACTTGGGCTAATAAAAACGCAGAACTTTTCTACCAAAACGCATTAAAGTCCATGAATTTCAATTGCTATGTGCATGCGCGCCCCCTCACCATCTCACCATCTCACCACCTGCCCAGGTGCTGTGCGTAGCTGTCTTTGGCTTATGAATTTTCATCAGCAGAACGGCAACGTGAATTTTTATGCCCTGTACCCTTTGAAAATGAGTAAATGGGGTATATTTTTGGCATATATTCATGTAACAGTGTAATGAAGGCATGACAGACCGTTGTAAATAACTGAGTTGATCTAGAACTCAGAATTTTTAAAGCCTTCTTTAGCTAGCTCAAAAAACATTTTGTTGATATCATAAACTTTCTTTCGATAAAAATCGATTTATCGAAAATCAATGATTTGGTAGACATATCTTGTATACTTTAAGAAGTTGACTAGATTCTCGATGCTCAGCTGAGAGTCTTTTATTACTAGGCTATGCTCAACAACTCATCATCGAAATGTTTGAAATTTATTTTCAAGTACGTCAGGGTATGTTCTAGTCGTGTACTCTCCATTACAGCTTCCCTTCTTGCTATATCCAGGCTTGTGCGCTGCTTGCGAGGCGCATTAAATTTTTATTGAGCTTAGAGCAGCAAGTGTCTTTGTCACATCAACCCCACACACACACACACACACATAGACATACTCCTACACATTCCTACGCACAGCAACACCAACACACACCCACACCCATATTCTAAGCTTTAATGTTTCGCATACACATATTTATTTGATTTGATTTAATTTTTCGCTTTTTAATTAAAATCGTCTTTATTGTTGAGCGCTCCACTCAGCTTTATAGGCCCCATAAGTATGCCTGTTTGACACCTAAGCGGCGCATTAAATATATGTATATGTATATATATTATATCGTGCACCGTAAATTGGTGTATTACTTAGCAACTCTCTGATGTCGCATGTAGTACAGCCGAATCGAGTGGTTTTTATGCTTCGCTGCCTTTTGGCCAAAATGAAAAAGAAAACGCGGCATTTGAAACCTGCGTCTATTTGCTTTAAACTAAATCTGTAAACCAAAACCAGGGTTGCGTGAAACTAAAGAGCAGGTAGACAGTATTTAGAGCTGTTGGCAGTGTCAGTGGGAATTGAATGAAGATATTGTATATATGTAAAAAAATAAATAAATAATAATAAATGCTCTCTAGTATCAACTCCAAGCGAAAAACCAATAATAATTGATTTTAGGCACTAGAAATAGAATTAGAAATTTAAATATTATTTTTAAGTAAGATAAGATTGACAAACATATATGTTATATATATTTTATTATTAACTGATAAGATGCGTTATTTGTACCAAAATTGACACAGAAATCTGTATTTATCGATAACTAATACGCATTTGTTATTTATGCCAAGTTTTTGTGACACTTTAATAAGTAAGCACGTACAAATTAATTGTTGATTAAACATCGATCTTTATCGATAATTATTTAGTGTGTTTAAAATAAAAATAAAAATTTGTGTTTAATTAATTATCTAGTTGAAGTTTAAAACAAAAATCGATCATTAAAAAATTAAATATTAATACATATACATATACAGTCAAATGTCGACAATTCGAAATAGCATGGGAATAGATTTTTTTTCTCGATTAATTGCGCTATTCGATTTAACGGGCTACAAATTATCGAGACTGTGTCTATATATTCATATGAAATCTTGAAGATCTACTTTCGTATACCTGTGTCAAGCAGCCCTGGTTTTTGATTACAAACACAAAAAGCATCAAGTAAAGTGTGTCTTAGCAGTGCCAAGCCGCAAAACAATTCGAAAGTAAAAAAAAAAAAAAAAAAAAAAAAAAAATTCTTATTGCTTTTATGGTGCGCTTTGTGTCGACCGCAATTGGGCTTAATGTAATTTGATTGATATTAAACTTATATTTAACTAATATATGTATATGTCTGTCTCTGTCTATATCTTACAGTGATTAACAAGGGACAGGGCGAGACGTGTCGCTATCGTTTTCTAGGCAAATATGGTGGCTACTGCTGGATCGTGACTCAGGCAACGATTGTTTACGATAAGCTAAAGCCGCAGAGCGTTGTCTGCGTTAATTATGTCATCAGGTGAGTCGATTCGTTACGACAGTTTTTCTACAACTAACTAAACCACCATATCGTATATATAGAGTATAAGTTATGAGACTATTAATGAGCCTAAATGTGAGCTGCCCGTATAACAATGCCGAATATTTGCTCATGTCTAAGTGAGCCTTGAATTTTGCGTGCTTTAATTAAATGATGGTAATTTGTGCTGCCTCAAGTTTATAATTAATCAAGCGTATTTAATTTCCCGTTGCCAAAATATTTAAGCACCCCACCCCACACACACACACCGACACACACATACACAGAGACAATTTGAAGAATGCCTTGTCATGGCATGGCATTGCCCCAGCTCAAACCCCGCTAACGAACAGCCACACAGCATCCGCAGTCGCTTCATTGAACTGCAAACGGCACAGGGACACAAGATTTCCATACAGACGCACACAACATTTTTCCAACTGCGTTCGCAGTTTTTTATTTTTATTTTTTACTTTTTTTATTTCCTTTCAAATAATTGTGTCAGTCAGCGGCAGGCCGCAGTCATCGGAATTGATTTGATTTGATTTGCTAATCTGTCTTTATTGATACCCTGTATTGATAATGGATGCAAGGCAAGAGTGAAGCTGTTAAAGGTAAAGTTTTCCGCTGCACCAATTTCAATTTATTTTTATATATTTTTAATTATGATTGGAAAGATATGCAAATTTAATACGCTGCAATTTCTTAAGCAATGTCTTGAGGCTTAACATTCATAAAATTCTTAACTTTCAACTGAGTACTTATAACTCAGGGTATCTCTATATTCCTGCACTTACTCTAACTCAACTTATACACAGAGCATCTTTCAGTCATTACGCTTACATAATATTTTCCACAACAATTTATTGTCAGCCTGCTTTAAATTTCCGTCAATCGATTGAATTCGCGCCTGACATCATGGCGTATACTCAATCAGAAAATAAAATTAACATTTTTACTGCGGCTTACAAGTTATTTCCGAACTTCTGCCGGGTAGGCATTAGCCTCAGGTTTTACCCAGCCTTTCTCCTTTATGCATATTTATGTGCTAGCCTCACTTTAAATTCGACTCTCTTTTTTTTTTTTATACCCTTTTCGACGAGCCTGCCGCACGCATTTATGAATAATATATATACATATATATATATAAAGAAATTTTATTTTATGCATCTGTTTGCGTTCATTATGGAAATTGTTTATGCGCTGTACGTGTTGAGTTACTTCAAAGGGCGACTTGAGTCTCCGCATATATCTCAGAAACTTTCCGTTTCTATATATAAATTGGAAATTCTAAATTATAATCTGCTTTAAATTTGTCCAATTTATGAACAATAATTAAACTATAGTTGCAAAAATCACTCAAAATAAATACTAGAATAGAAATATACCAAAGTTCTTGCGAGCATCATAAATTATATTGTATATAAATGAATGTTGTTCATTTCACATTGACAAGACATATTCGATAACAATTGAGCATCGATTGTGACAGTTATCAATAAACAGCTTTTGCTGTTGCCACTCGATTGTTAAATCGATAGCATTTTACAAAAAAAGCAGGAAAATATCGTAGCATAACACTTAAATCGATTGTTAAAATAATCGATTAGTGACCTAGTAAAGCCTTTTAATGGCTTAAATCTATCGCTTTCAAAAAAAATAGACAACATTAAAGGGCTACATTTCCTTTCATAATTTTATATATAAAAGTAATATACATCTCTCTAAAACTTGTCATTGATACCGACAAATCGATTGCCAATTCACGCTCAATTATCGATTATAATGAGATATATGCCTTTACATTAAAATACTAGCTTCATTAATTCATTTAGACCGCCTACTTTGCTGTTGTGCGCTGTAGTTACACAGGAACCGTATTACGCTTTTCCAATTGTCTGTATCAGGTTTCCCACCAGAAAACTCCTCGCATTTCCCTTTTTGTTTCAGCTAGCGGGTAAGTATTCAATCATTAAGTATTTATTTCTGTTAAAATTAAGCGTTAATGAGCAAATATTTGTGCATTGTTTTGTTTTGGCCGATTTCCGGTTCTCGCTGAGAGAGTCGCAACATGAAAATGTGCTTTTAATTGCCATTTCGGTTGAATGTTGTGACGGGGGTTATTATCTTTGTGTATTTTATTTGTCCACCCACCCACAAAAAA